AAATATTTAAACCAAAAACAGCAACTACTTCTATTCGTGCTCATTTGCAACAAAAACATAATCTATTATTAAAAGGAAGTTTAACTGTTTTATCCAAAAAACATTCACCAAAAATTCAAGCAGAAAAAACTCAAGCAATTCTTAATTGGATTATTTTAACTCTTAAGCCATTTAAAGTAATTGAAGAAAAAGCATTTCATAATATGGTTCAAAAATTGGATCCATTTTATCAAATTCCTGTTCGTAAAACTATTTATAATTTAATTATTAATCAATTTGATCAACAAAGAAATTTAATAAAAAATTCTTTTAAGTAAAGTTGCTCTTACAGCTGATTTTTGGACATCTTTGAAAATGGAAAATTTTATAGCCATTACTATTCATTTTATTGATAATAATTGGAAACTACAGCATTTTGTATTAGATATATTTCAATTTAAAGGTTCTCATACTGGAGAAATAATTGCTGATAAAATATATAATTTGCTTGAAGTATTTAATATTGAAACTAAAGTTATTGGATTAACTACTGACAATGGTGCTAATATGATTTCTGCTGCAAATTATTTACAAGATAAGTTAATTTTAAATAATTTTTGTTATTATAGATGCATAGCACATATACTTAATTTAGTAGTTGTATCTGGTTTAAAGCTTTTAGAAACCCCAATTAAAAAATTAAGAAAATTAATTAAAACTATTTGTAAATCAGCTAAAATTCTTGAAGATTTGGAAAATATAGCAACAATTATGTAATGCGGGCTAAAATTTCACAGATCACGGTCGTTAGCCAATCAGAATCAAAAATCCGTTGTAACTATTTTGTTGCATCTAGGTTTAATCTTATATTTTGGTTTATTCGATTAAGTTTATGATTTCTGCATGGTCATACGTATAGACATTATTTTTGTATTACACGTGATTCAATTGTTTCATAATCTCAGATTTTATCGAATTGACTGAGAAATTATTCGGCAAATTTTTATCAGGTGTTCCAGAATTTATGATAACAGCCGTAACATGAAACAAAATCATGGTTTTTAAAAAAAATCTGGCATCGGTCATTATTTGACCGGTCAGTCAAACCGCTCTGACCGGTCAACAACGGTCACGGTCAATGACCGGTCACAACGGTTATGACCGTGACCGTACCCATCCCTAGTCATAAGGTTACTATACCAAATCAAAACCATCATTTGCATACGAACGCGAAACTCGATACACTCGTTTCATTACGTTCCTGGTATAATACCGACACATTCAAGATTAAATTTTTGTTTGAGTTTAGTCTGTACGAAATTTATAAAAAAGACTATCAAGAAATACATAAAAGGCTACGAATATAAATTCGCTTTATAATAAATATACAATATTATATACAAAAGTTTTTTTATTACATCCATTTCTTTTAAGTGCTTGAGAACTCAATTTGTAAAAGTTCTGTTAACACCTAAGTGTTTACCGATTTTTTGAATTAATAAGCCCTCTAAAGTTTTTTTTTCATTTGCAACGAAGATGCTTTAAAAGTAGATATGCGTATGTAGTCTTATAATATTCCCTATAAAATAATTCGATTCCGTATTGAATATTTACAGTATGTTTATTGGATATTATATGTTTTTTGTATGATTAGCATTTAATTAAACATTATTTTAACGTCCCGTAATGAAAACATTACAAGAATAAACCCCTGTTCGGAAAATCGACACCATTTCGAACAATTTTAGAACGAAATTTTATAGGGATTTTATATTAGTTATCTCTTAAATTTCATATTGAATCTATTATTATTATGCAGAAATCAATAACTTAACCGAATCAACCGAAAAATCATTCGGCTAATTTTTTGTTAGATGTCCCAAAAATTATGAAAACAGCTGTAGGCATATTTCAAGGCTAGAAATTGAATAAAAATCGGCTAGTCGTTTATAATAATGTAAGAGAAGAGAAGTTGGCTTAATTAGGTGATAAATAGCAAATATAATATAAGGATCAGAAATGTTCGGTGGCATAGACAATCAATCAACATAAATACTAACGTGCCTAAATTTTTCAAGGACAAAAGAATAAAAATTAAATCATTTAATATCACAAGAATTCGACAGGAAACTACTTGATAGCCTTTTGCACGTTTAATATAGATATGTTGACTGATTTTGATAAAAAAAAAAAGTACACTAGCAAAAAGGTCGGCCCGGTCGACCGGCCCGAGCTTTTTTTGGATCGACCCCGGCCCACGATTTTTTCATCGACCCGTATCACTATTCCAAGGATTGAAACTGATATTTAAAAGCTATAATTTTGCTTTTTCTTTGCAGCACTCATGTATGAGAAAAGGGTTCTACCACAAAATCCCGACATCCAAAATCTCGACAAGTCATAATACTGACATCGCGCGATGTGACAATTAAAATTTATAGTTTGACAATGATTGTTAATGTGATTACTAATCTTTAAATATTAATCGTCACGTCTGGATTATGGTTTCGAGATTTTGGATGTCGGGACTTTGTGGTAGAACCGAGAAAAGACCTCGAATATATTATATACTGGTACGAAATTTTTTTTTCCTTTTTAACGTACATACTATCTGAATTTTACTCAGTTTTCGTACGTCTATACATATTTATACCTGCAATTTAATGTCATGTGACAAATTAACACTAATTACTGAATTAGGGATGGCAAATGTTTTAAAACGCGATCTTAAAAATCATGTTTGTTTGGTTTAAATCTGTCAAAAAATGTTTTAATACATTATGACGTAATTTGATCTGATTGCGTAAATTAATATTTATGATTGCTAACATCAAAAAAATTCTTCAAAGCAAATGTTTCATGTTCGTGAAGACATCTTTAAAGAAATCGTTTAAATTTTATAAAAGTTGCTGAATCTAATAAACATGGTAGAAAAACCGTCGCGCCAAATGCAATTATTGAAAAGAAGACTGTTGATTCAGTTGATCGATTAAAAAACTTCCAAGAAATGAGATTTATTGAAAGTTCATTATTCTATTTCAAGTGAAATATGCGATTGGATTAATATGAGAAAGATAAATTATTTATTCATTGTATTCCTTCTAATTTTCTAATAATTCATTCGCAACAACTTATTTAATGAGGTTTACATAGTGGCAATATTACTGTAAACTTGGACTCTCAATAAAACCAATACCAATAAAATTGGTTGATGGAAAATTTAAACATTTAAAAATATTATTGATAAAATTAAAGTGATCAAATATATTTATTTTTTTTATAAATTCGAAATTATATAGCATCGCTTTTTTAAAAAAAACTTCTTTGCTGACAATTAAAATTAATCAGAAGCAATATTTCATTTTCAGCAAAATTTTATCAGACTTCATTGTTTTAAAAAAGGTTTTAAAACAATAAAAATGGTTAAAAAACTGTTTAAACCGTTTTTTTACCATCCCTAACACTAATATAGCACAAATGCAAAGAAAGCTTAAAGTGCTCAAGGATCTAATAGTTCTATTTAGTCCCTTGTAACTGTTATAAGATATTTCGAATTCTATTATATTTCATATAACTAAATAGAAAATATAATCGCCAAAACTCTTAGTCATCTGAATATATAAATAGCCCCAATATCGTCAGCAGGGTTGTGTTACGAAAATTACATTCTTACATTTAATGTAATTTGTGTAAGTTTCAGTAACTTGAATATCATTCAAATTTCACACGTAATATTTAGCTAGATTGTTGAAACTCCGAATAAAGTTTTAATCCAGCCAATCACATGGAATCATATGATTAAATGATCACGTTTCTTACAAATCACATGAAACCAAGTTTACCGAAACTTACATCGTCAGTTCTCCATTCAACACAACCCAACAAAAGAGAATTCATATTTTATTAAACTATTTGTATATTCATACACATTTAGTCGTTTGTCTTTTTCGTAATGCAAATTAAAGCATTTTGTTAGTCTTTACGCTTTAGTAAAGGACGACAAAGGGCATTTACTTATTATTGCCTCTAGTTATAGAGAGGTAGTTTGTGTAATGGTATCTTATATTAGTCTGTAACAATTTCTTATATTAGTTTCCTGGTTTTGTTTATCCATATATTGACTAATAAATGTTATTGTGTTAGCTTCTCACCTAATTAGGAAGGAAAATATATTTCGTTAATTAACATTAATAAAAAACGACGTAACACGATTGAATGAGGAAACGATTTTCATTATTGGCTAACAAATATTAATTTGCCGTTCTTATTCAATCGCTAAAGAACTCTTCTACCTATTTTACTTCCATGCAACAAGATGAAACTTTATTCAATTATTTTTCTGTTAATTGTCTTCATGTCTTTCACTTTGGCTTCTCCTTTTTATGAAAGATCAGTCCCACAATCATCCACTGTCCCAGCTCTGAAGAAACGTATCAAACACGAGAAGATTTATTCAAACGAATAATACCTATGTATTAACATAAACAAGATGGGTTTTAAAAGATACCTCGATATTTACTTTACCTGCACAAAAAAAGTCAAATAAATTGGACCATAGTATAATATTTTATCTTTGAGAAATTTTTTTTAATTACTTAAATATGAATGTTTTTCTTTGCAAATTCATATTTTATATACTCGATACATATTATTATGATAAAGAAGCCTCTCCATTTCAAACATAAAATAATCATTATAATTCATATATTACAAGTACGAGGTCCTTACGTTACTTTTAAATTACTAGATTTTTAAGTTATTTAATTTATATCAGAGTGAATTTTCATCATTCAACATAAAAATTTATTTACAAAAATGTGTTGTTTTTTTTTGTTCATTCACGGTATGTGAAAATAGGCTTAGTGGATTTAGAAGTTATATTTTCAATATACAAATTATATATATATATATTTTTATGAAAGGGATACCTAAAATTTGAAAAACAGACATTTAATACTTGTTTTCATAAATATTGAGATATCTTTCTTTGAAACTTGAAATAAAAAAAATAGGAAATTTTATTTATTGAAACTTGAAATAAAAAAATAGGAAATTTTATTTATTGAAACTTGAAATAAAAAAAATAGGAAATTTTATTTATTGAAACTTGAAATAAAAAAAATAGGAAATTTTATTTATTGAACGTATTAATAAGTATTTTTACTAACTTATTTATTTTTAATAACTGGTATTATAATCAGAATTGGGGCCATCAAGATACCATAATATTCATATTAGAGTTAAAATCTGGATTTATATTTATATCCGAATATAATTTTGCTTACAGCAATTATCATAATCCCTGGATCTTCTTCTTGCTTTATCATAATCCCTGGATCTTCTTCTTGCTTTATCATCTAACTCTTCTATCAATATTCATCTTGACAACAAAACTGCAATCAAAAATCTACAAACTCCCCTCCCTATCAAACCTATACAAACAAAAATTGAGATATTATCTTTCCTATAAACTATCTTAAAAATACTAAAAATATTAATACACAACTTCACAAAGTTAAATCCCACTCTAACAACTTTTTCACAATTAGGCTGACTTACTTGTTAAAAGATGATGTTACAAAGCTCATATCTTATTTTCTCTTCTGTTTCTTCTAAACTATTTTCTATGAAACAACCATCTTATACTATTTAAAATACATACCTTTATTAAAAATACTATTATAATTTAAGAACTTTCAAATTGGTCTACACTAAAGTTTATCAAGAATATTTCAGAAATTAAATGGGCCTTAAATTTAAAATACTTAAATCTTTAG